AACATGATAGTGGGACTGGAGGAAAGTAAAAGGAAATAGAGGAAAGAACTAGGAGGCAAAAGACATTTATAGAGGTATAAACATAGGCATGTACATATGTAAATATATTAATATGTAATGATGGGAATATAGTTTTATATAATATATAGGCTAAATATTAAGGTAGCAGATGGACATTGGGCCTTTACTCAAGTCCTCCCTTAACACAAAACCAATGTGTTCTGATAACCTGGCATTCTGTGATGCTCAGCTTTCTGTCACGATTGCTGAAGACAAAACGTGTGCATAAGCTAACGTGGTGAAGAAAGCTGATAGTGCCCGGCTATCAAAAGATATAGCATCTTAAAGGCTTAAAGTTGATGGGATCTTAAAGGCTTAAAGTTTAACAAGCGGCCTTCTAGCAGGGAAGCAACAAAGCCCACATGGAAGAAGCACAGCAACCCCATGATGACGAGGTGTCGATGGGATCAGGTATCAGGCATCAGAAAACTCAAAACAGACAACCATTTTGATGCAAATGTGGAGGGGTTGGAGTGGAAACTCAACGCCCATCTGTGGACAATTGGACATGCCCTCGCAGAAGGATCACAAGGAAGGGATGAGCCAGCCAGGGTGCAGTATAGCACTGATGAAACATACAACATTCCTCTAGTTTTTGAATGCTCCTCCGTCTTCTCCCTCCCCCCTCCATTATCATAATCCCAGTTCTACTTTATAAATCTGGCTAGACCGGAGCATGTGTACTGGTTCAGATAAGAGCTCATGACATACAGGATCCAGGACAGATAAGCCCTTCAGGACCAATAGTGATACCATGAGGGTAGGGGGAAGGTGGGGAGAGAAAGGGGGAACCAATTGCAATGATCAATATACAGTCCCCCTCCCCAGAGGATGAACAACAAAAGTGGGTGAAGGGAGACAGCAGACAGTATAAAATATGAAAATAAAATAATTTATAAATTATCAAGGGTTCATGAGGGTGGGACAGTGAGAAAAAAAGAGGAGCTGATACCAAGAACGCAAGTAGAAAGAAAATGTTTTGGAAATGATGATGGCAACATATGTACAAATGTGCTTGATGCAATTGATGTATGGATTGTTATAAGAGCTGTAAGAGCCCCCGGTAAAATGATTTATTTTTTTAAAAAGTTAGATTAATCTTAATAATAACAATTTTACTTAACCTAATATAAGCATAGTTCTAGGTAGTTTTTTAATCAGTCAAGAGGTCTGAATCTTTAAAGTGAGTCTGGGTATATTTTTGTGTTTCCATTGATTTTTTTTTTTTTTAAGTCGGACAGAATAACCAAGAAAATTATAAGAGACCATGGGCCACCAATGTGATTTCAAAATTGAAGCTTTTCTTGTTCTTCATGAAATAACAGTTGTACTTACATGAAGTTTTCCTAATGCCCCTTATTTGTAAGTTTCTCCAAAACTATGTCTAAGATTGGAAGGTTTTTAATTTTTTTTTTTTATAGTTTGATGTATTTTAATAGCAAACTGACAGGAACAGCACAGAAGACAGACCACATTAAAAACATGTACTTGGCATGTAGGACAACTTAGTTAGAAAAGTATAGTAATTGAATGGAGTCTACTGCATGATAAAAATGCTACAAACACCATTTCATTGCCATCAATAAGAAACTGACTTGTTTTTAAAAAACCCAAATGCTGTCATTGCCCAGAAAAATTTAACAGATTTATGTATAATTGTTAAAAGTTAAATTGCTGACCCACTACCATGACTCGAATTCTATCTTGCAAGACTGGCTAGACCAGAGGAGGTACACTGGTACAGATAGGAACTGAAAATACAGGGAATCC